TTAGAGCACGTGTGTGCTTTACCACTATATTAGTCTTAAAATAAGAAGCCTAGAGTTCTTGACATTCTCAGCTCTTAATTGTCTCTACCTCTGTTTAAAGGGATCTTAGTAGGAGTTAATGTGATGATTGATTATGCAACTGTGGCTTTGTGTAGTGTCTTTTTGTTACATGATAAAATTAGAAAGGTGTTTCTAATAAAATTTTAGAGGTTTCCCAAGCAGATAGCAGTATTTGTAAACCTATGCTTGATTTCTGATTTGTTCTCCAGAAGCCTCATGACTAAGCTTGCTTTACGTCTTAAGTCTTTTTTAAAGTCTTTTACAAACCTATAGTTTAAGCTGGGATAACAGTGTGTGTTTCTCCCAAGGATTTGAAAACAGGGGTAATTCGGATAATTTAATGGGATAATAACAAAGAAGAGTACAAGGTCCTTGTGTTGCTGGGGAGGATGTAGGCTCTCCCAAGTCTTGGTTCTTAGTAGATCTTGAAAGGGCTTTAGATCCGAAAATCATAGATGATTGGATTATGAAGTTAACACACACTAACCAGAACTACAAGAGACTAATGTAAATAAACAAACAAAACACCAAAAAACAAAACAAACAAACAAAAAAACCCCCAAAAACCATGATGTAATTTACTAATTTGTAAGGAGAAGTAATAACTCGCAAGTGAACAGGAGGATTGCATCCGGTGCTCAGCATGCTTGGCTACAGGAGGAAACAAAGTTCTTACAGAAAGTTTGCTTGGTAAGCAGATTTTGAGCCAGGGAAGTTACTTGGTTGTTTTTAGTAGCTGCTGTGGTCAAGCTACTATATAGCCTGTTGCATTAATTGCTTTTTATAAGATAGAATTGTTTGTGCATCATATGTATAAACATGCCAACTGGATAATAATACCTATATCTGACTCCCTGGGTCTCCTTTGCTTTTGTTGGACCAATTCCTAATTCCCACTATCTTCCTTTAGAATTGTCAAATCTTTTAATCCTCTTATTACCTAATATTTTTTTAAAGTGAAGTTAGTAAACCTCTGCTGTGATCTTTTTTGTTCTGTCAAAGAGCAGTTATTTATTTTCAAGTTCTTGATGGGGTAAGCAGTGACTCTTCTCATCCACTAGTTGTACTTCAGTTTTTGGTGATTGAATTGGAGGTGTGGTTTAAGTGAAGGTTTGGCAGCTCCTGGCATTTATGCCAGAGGGTTGGTGAATCCTAGGATTTTTAGCCCGTGCTGTGGATGGTATTACCTCCAGAAAGTTGCTGCGGAATTTGAAATAACAGCTGGATATTCAGCATCACTTTGCTGTCTAATTCAGTAGATTATGGTTAGCTCTTTTTACTATGATCAGATTTAAGCAGTAATGTATTTTAGTTGACTCGAATATGTGATTGCTACTAATTCTCAGTGAGCTTAATGTCTCTGAGTTGATTTGACTTAGGAGAATTTAAAAAAGTCATTCATTTTTAAAATAAGGTCTGGTAGGGAGAACATGAAATGAAATGGATATAATTTTTTCCAAATTCAAAAGTAGTACTTGGATTTTGGATATTAGAACTAGAACAAGAAGTGCTTCTTGAATTGAAGCCAGACTCTTCTTGAATTGAAGCCAGAAGTATTTTGAATATAAGAAAGCACTATATATTGACAACCGTACCTGTACCTATTGCTACATTACAAATTACCCCAGAATTTAGGGGCTTAAAACAACACAGCGTAAGCCTCACCTTTCTGGGGGTCAAGAACCCAGTCATCGCTTTGGAAGAACCTCTATTGTAGATCCCTTGTGAGCTGCAGCCATCTTAAAGTCAATTGGGGCAAAGTTTGCCTCCAAGCTCACTCACGTAACTGATGTCAGGATTAGGTTCTTTACACGTTGTTGGACTGAGAGCCTCAATTCATAATGAATTGATGATGTCCAATGACTTCTCGTGGTTCCAGCAGCTAGCTTCATCAAAGGGAACATGCAAGATAGATGTAAGAGGGTAAGAAGTAGAAGCAAAACTGGTAGTTTTTTTTATAACAATCTTGAGAGACAACCTATCACTTTTGCCTTATGCTATTCCTTAGAAGCAAAGTCACAAGGTCTAGCCCACAGTAAAGGGAAAGAGATTACCAGAGGAATCGTTTCAAATCTGCTAACCACACACATGAGGAGGGGGGATGGGTATGTTTTGGAGAAAAGAAGTAAATATTAGGTTCTATGTGAGATCCAGAAACTCTGAAGTAGTTGCTTCTGTTTTTGCTCAAGTACTTTGGTGCAGCACTTTTCCTTTCCTTTCTACTTGCAGGGGACTCCTGCACCCCATAATTTCTATCTTTTTTCTCCTGGAATCAGCATGCTGCCATCCTCTCTCCCACCTCCTTTTTCTTTATCTCCTACAGACTTGCCTTATCAGTGCCTGCTGTTTTCATTGATAATAACAATTGGATCTTCTTGTTGCCACTATGCCAAAGCATAAAGAGTTCTAGTACTTTTGGGGCTTTTCCTAGCATCAGCTTAGGATTTATATTTATACCAATTGTTAATAGTGGGCTATATGGCCTCTTGGTGTCTGACTGGGGTTATGAGTTTTGATGTGTGTTTCTATGAGATTTGTTGCCTTTATCCCTACTTTGAAATAGAATCTTCACTTTTTAATACCTTTCTAGTATAGTTGTTTCCTTGGAGAGAATTTTATCTGGAAACAGCCTTGTTTATATGTTCACCTGCTTTTGCTAGCTTAGTGTTATGACAGCCTGGCAAGCAACAGTGAAAGATGACAGGATTTCAGAAGCCATTTTTGAAGTCTTGAGTTCAAGGACTGCTACCCTCAGTAAGCAATTTGACTGACTATGGATAGATTACATTATTTTGCACATGGAGTTTGGCACTTACAGAATCTTTTCCTTGAGCTTTGGATAAAGATTTTGCAATTTGTAGAGAGGGATGAGCACTATAATGAATATATATATGTGTGTTTTTTTTGTTTTTTTTTTAAATCACATTTTCTCTCTTTCCACAAATAAAGCATCTAATGAGGTACAGACATTCTTCTGGTACAGAGAAATTGATGGGGACTTCTGTTTGCTCACACTCCCTACAAAATGGAGGAGAAAAAGAAAAATGTTAGTTGGAAAGGGACAACCAATAGGGAAGTAAATTCTGTTTGTAATCTTCTGAGAGGGCATTTTTGAGACTAAAAGGAGAAGTTGTTTAAAAACAAGAATTCTTGAATTGTGCTCGAGTAGTTCTCATTAATTTTCAGTGTCACTTCGTGATTTATAGCTGTTTGCCTTGATGTAATATCATTGAATACATTTATTGAGAACCTGCTTTGTGACAGGCATTGTCCTAGGCACTCATCAACAAAACTTACAATCATCCCAACAACTTGGAAAATATTTCCTTTATCAGTACAAAGAGAATGAGGCACCCAGGATAGTTCAATGATTTGTCTTAGGATACACGTCAAAGTTGTCTGGTCTAAGGCTTCCTTATTCCACTACTTAGCTATGATCTGGGCTCTTTCTCTTGTTTGTTCCTCCCCTGCTTCCCAAATCTCAAGTTAACAGATCAGTTCTTTCTTTGTTTTCCCCTAAGAATGAACCCAAGGGGCTCACTAGGAATTGACTGCTTATAACTTCTTATCTTCAAGCAAATCTATGCTTCTGTGTATTAAAATGCCAGACCCAAACCTGTATTCTGTCATGATCTTGTTGGCTTAGAAATAAATTAGGACCTGAAGAGAAAAGTGTGGGAAACTGCTTTGGTGTAGGTAGGAGGTAGTAGCCCATGTCTATCAGATTTATAGAGCTAGATTATCTAGATTTAAGTTATGCTGAGAACGTAGAATTTGTTTGGAAAGTTGGGGTTTATTTTAGTGAGGGCAAAGTTGAGTTATTCCTTCATTATCATTGGGTTATGTGTTTTAAATCGGAAAGATAGGAGGAAAGCAAACGTTTTATGCTTCCTGGTTTTTAACTGTCTTCCTCTGAGAAATTCAACTATCCAGATGTGCCCATTTAGGCTCAAAAGCAGTGATTAAGTACTGTCTCAAACACCTGAGTTTCTTGTCTGACTAGTAGGAGCTGAAATGAAAACATAATTAGAGGAATTAAAGAGGGACATTTTAGTAAGTAATGATGACCAGAATGAAGAGTGATGGCATTCTAGCGGAATTTTATTTTGTAACTCTGGTCATGAATGCTTTGCTCTTGTGTAAAACTGTACTGTGTTTTGCTTGAATGCTACTTTGCATTTATTTGGTTGAAGTTAGTTTAAAGTTCTCACATTGTAAGTTTATGGCCAGTGATGCCTGCATTTCTACGAAGTATAGAATGTTTTGTGAAGTCACTTTAATGGTATTACTAAGTATTGTTAAAATTAATTGAGGATCGGAGATTTTATTTCTCTTCCAATAATGGGGAAAGACAACTGTTCTGTCTTTCCAAAATTTTGGAATAGGTTAATGATGTGATTAGGAAGGGTTTTTTTCTTTCTTTCTGGTGATGAAAGTTTTTTAGTTAACAGAATCTCAGTGTATAAAGGAGGTGGATTTTGCCAGTAGTATTCTGAGTAACTTTGTATGGTTAGTTAGTACACATGTAGGTTAAAGTGTTTTAGTAGTTAGTTGTAGGCATTTTTCTTTTTTCAGTAAGAAACTTCTTAGCAAGCAGTTATCTCATAGGTCTAATATGAGTCCCCCCCCCCCCCCCCCCCATTAAAAAATCTTGGCATAGGTTAAGTGAAAAAATCCTAGATATTTAAGCTGAGCATCTATTGTAATGGCCTGATCTGTGCAGGGCCCTCCCCAACCTGCCACCCTTGCCATAGACCTCTCTGTGACTTTTGCCAAATGTACAATAGTGTTCTGACCACAATCTGTGTAGCCAGAACACTGATTACAAACTTTCAGGGCACATGAGCATCTTCAGTACCCTTGTCTAAAAGAAAGTTTTGACTGCTGTACTTTCATCCTTTATGAATTCTTTAAAAGCGTCTATTATTTTTAATTTGCAGCAGCTCTTGCCAGGTAAAAAGTTTTGGGAAACAGATGAATCCAGCAAAGATGGACCAAAAGGAATATTCCTGGGTGATCAATGGCGAGACAGTGCCTGGGGAACATCAGGTAATCTAGATCTAGCATCTGTACTGTGATTTATGCCTGTCTTAGAGCTCCTTTCTTCAGCAATTGGCAAGTCATAAATTGTACATCAGTGACATAAGCATGTCAAGCAGTATCCTGTCCTGTAATATAATTACCATGAAGGAGCTTATGCGATATAATTTATTAAAACATAAATAAGCAAAATCAAATCTTCAGTATTTTATTGAAGTGCTAGCCACAGGGGAATGGTCTTATTTGAAATGACCATAGTTTCAGCTATAACTTCTTGTTCTGTACTGCTGTCAGCATACTTGGAAATAGAAAATCCATGCCTGCCTTTTGAAGTCATGCTTCTTTTCTCCCCCCTTCCCCCCTACATAACGTGTATGGGATGATCTATCTGTGAATTTGGATGAGGCCAAATCAAGTCACTGGGCACAGATGCTCTTCTGACAGATTACCCTTGAAGAGGGATGGGAGAACTTGAAGAGGCAGACACACTGACAGCAGAAAGAAATGATAGATCACAGGGAGGAAGGAGTCAGAAAATCCAAAAGCTGACATGCTGTTATAGCACAGTATAAGAATGGATCCTCAGATAACAGCAAGTCATCAGAAAAATCAAATTATGTTTAAAAAGGGCAGTAAAACCATATTTTGTTTTAGTAATATCACCAATAAAATACATTAAAAAGAAATTCTGCCACTTGAAAGGAGCAAACATATTTATTCACTTAGCTAGGAAAACCAGTTATGTGAACTGCTGTATTGCTCTGCTATCCTGGATATATGAGTGGTGTGTTCTGTTTTCTTAGTTATTTAGTATATTATACTTAGGGAAATACACAATAGGAGGTTTTGGCTCAACTGACCATAGCAGGTTTCCTGATTCCCAGTCATTGGTTTATCCCTGAGACATCACTCATAATTTGTTTGAGCCTCTGGCTGCACTGTATCATGCTTGTGTATCTTTTTTGTAGATCATTCAGTTTCCCAGCCAATCATGGTGCAGAGAAGACCTGGTCAGAGTTTCCATGTGAACAGTGAGGTCAATTCTGTACTGTCCCCACGGTCGGAGAGTGGGGGACTAGGCGTTAGCATGGTGGAGTATGTGTTGAGCTCATCCCCGGGAGATTCCTGTCTAAGAAAAGGAGGATTTGTAAGTTGGCTTGAGGAACTTGTTCCTATCTCTCTTTTTTTAACCCCCAAAACAAAACATGCCTGTTTGGTTTCCTTAGATATTCACAGCACTAATTGAAGGGTATTATAAAAACACTTGCTAAAATTAATAGGGGATGTAAACCAAACTATTAAACATAGACAAATGATATTTTTTGGGGGACACATTGATAGTAATGTGAGGTAGGAACTGAAATCTAGATTTCAATTCATTGGTCTACCAGAAAATACCATTTTTAGTTTAAAACAACAAAAGTACACACGTGTAGGAATTTGAAAAAAAGAAACATGTCAGTAGTGATTGGAGAGCAGTGATTTGTCAGCACCCAAGAACCCTTAAAATGGATCAGCTATGTAGGATCATTCTTGTTTTGCTAGCTAGGTTTTAATTATAGAATGATCTTTTACCTTCTTTGAACAGCTATACTTCTCACCCCCAGCCTGTCAGGAAATTAAAAAATTAAAAATTCTGTTAATTCTATATCTGTGATTTTTGTGTTCTATCACCATTGACCAGCTTGCCTGTCCCTCTTAAGTCTAAGCAGTCCTCCTCCGGCATCCTTGATAGCCTTTCTCGAAACTAGCCCTTTTTTTGGCATCCACTTTCCAGATCTGGAAGTTTTAAGATGGAAACATTTGAGTCTTCCTCATCTGTGACAGGAAGGCCATGAGAGGCCCCATGACTCTGTTTCCCCTCCTTTCCCCAGGTCAATTTGTTTTGTACATTTTTAAAGCTTGTTCTCCCTGAAGTCGTTTTGGTCTAATCATACTTGTTGGCAATAATTTAAGAAATATTTTTTCTTTCAAATCATAATGATTTTTCCTCCATAAGTATCTTTATCATATAGCATTTGTTGTCAGTATTTTTATTGGCATATATCTGTTGCTATGTGTCAGAGGCTTGGTCCTGTTTCTTCCATTCCACTCGAAACTTCTTTAGAGTAACAGTAGTTTGTTTTTGGTGCAGCTTCCTCAAGTGTCAAAGTACAATTCTTTAATATGTTGGTGATATTAAATGAATGATTGTTGACTTCGTTGGCATGAAGAGAACCAGGTATACACAGAGTTAGCTTTATTCTAGGCACATCTAAGGTGTTGCTTCAAATGACATTGACATGACCTAGAGCTTTATTTCGTAGAAAAACCAGAAAAAAATGAAACGAACTTCTTTAAGAGACTAGTTTGATTTTCTCTCAGCTCCGCACTTAGAAGTTTGGTGTGAGGAATTTAGCCAGAAGAGGATCTTTTATAACAACTCTTAGGAAGATCAAGGAACTAAGCTGGGGTTTTGTCTTAATCTTGAGAACTAGCCATTCCAAAGCTGACTTGATTGTTTTTTCAGTCTTTTGATGACATAAAGACGGAGGTCAGATTTAGTGGCTTGTGGGTCAGATAGGAAAAGACTTTTAATTTGAACCTTCCCAGGAGACTGCTTGGGAAGAAAGGATCTACTCATTGGATGTGGGAATGGATCAGGCAAAAATGATCATTTGCCTATTGTGCCATGGGAAGAATGGGGTTAACTACTTCTCTTCTTTCGCCTTATGTAGCTTGCTTTTTTTTTTTTTTTTTTTGGGTCCTCATACATTTTTATCTCATGAACCCAGATTTCTCATAGGAAGTGCTGTCTATTCCTGCCTATAACTTTTAGTTATTTACTGTAGAAGACAAGTGAGTCTTGTGTGTAGGTAAGTTGTTACTGTCGTAAACTGGATCCTGGTTATTTGTGTGATCAGTTGTTTTTTTTAAAGACTTTCTTTCGTGCTGGTATTTATTTATTTATTTATTTATTTATTTATTTATTTATTTATTTGCAGAGAAGAAGAGAGAGGGATAGAGAATTAGAAACATTGATCAGCTGCCTCCTGCACACCCCACACAGGGGACGTGTCCACAACCAAGGTACATGCCCTTGACCATAATCGAACCTGGGACCTTTCAGTCCGCAGGCCGACGCTCTATCCATTGAGCCAAACCGGTTTCGGCTATTTACGTGACCCGTTTTTAATTCTTGTGCATTATCCAAGGTGGCATGTGCCTGGGTTACTATGAGGTTTGCATGAGGTAGAAAAATAATTGAAATAAAGAGAAAGATAAAGATCTGGGATTGAATTAATATTTTTGTCTGTTTTTCTCTTTTTGAACAATTGTTTCATTGTTCTTTAACAAAGCTGTATCTTTTGCATTGTGTCTTGAATTTGTATTTATGAAGGCAACTGTCATCCTTTGTTGTCTTGGTTGATGATTTTTAGCTCTTAAAATATTATCACCAGAAGTTAAGACCTCAGGACAGAGGTTGGAAAATTGTACTCTAACAAGTCAGATAATCTACTCAGGTTCTGAGGTTTGCATTAGGATAAATGAAAATTCTGACATTTGTGTTCCAGCTTCTTCTCAGAGGAAGGTTGTAGGTAATGAAATATTATTCCATATTTTGATGTGAGTGCCATCTAAAGCAGCCGTTGCCAATCAGTGGTCGGTAGACTGGGACCACTGGTGGTCTGCGAGGTCCAAAAGGTTGGCAGCCGCTGATCTAAAGGATGACATAGGAGGACTGCAGCTACACCATTGGCATATTCACTAGTCGATGGATGCTTGAGGATGTGGTTGTATCCTGTTGATCTTATACCTAACCTGGCTTTTGCTCTACCTGTTGGTTAGGATGACATTTGACCAAAATTCTGGTCATGGAAACCTTAGTCACTTTTTGGTTGTCATGATATGCATGTATCTTCTTGGAAAAGTTGAACTTAAAAAAAAAAAAAATCTAACCTGTCCTTCAAAGTGTTGAGTATAGAGGCCGAAAAGAATATCTGCTGCGTATAGCTGATTGTACTAAAGGGTGGGTAAAGGGTGGTTTATGGGTCAGAACACTCAGGTCTTTTTACTTTTTGGGTAGCTGTACCAACATTACCTCCCTAAGCCATGGAGAAGCCTTATTTGAGTCTCCGTAGAGCTGAAGACATCATTTCTGATGACCGAATGAGTGTAGACAGACCTCAGAACAAGTACTTAGTAGTCATTCTCAGATACTGACAACAGACAATTCAGGCTCTGATTAATATTCCAATTAAAGGAGGTTTAGAACCCAAGTAATCTACTCATTGTACAGTGGTTTTCCATTTTCAGTTAGGTTGTTTACTGATTGCAACTTGAATGAAGGTATTTAACTCTTGTCTAGCCTTTTAAGATTCATTTGATTGTGCAAATGGATTTAGTTACGGCTTCCGTGATAAGAGTACTTTCAGCTGAGGAGAATTCGACAGCAGTATTTTGTTCTTAATACTGTAAATTTTTGGTGGTATTGCAGATAGCTATGAACCAGGACTTCAGGATAGCAGTTTTCAGAATAGGAAACCTCAGAAGACCAGTTAAGCCAGGGTCAAATTATTTTATTTATTTAATATATTTTTATTGATTTCAGAGAGGAAGGGAGAGGGAGATAGAAACATCATTGATGAGAGAGAATCATTGATTGGCTGCTTCCTGCATACCCCCCACTGGGGACCGAGCCCACAACTTAGGCTTGTTCCCTGATAGGGAATCAAACCAGAAATCTTTTTGGTGTGTAGGATAATACTCAACCAATTGAGCTACACTGGCCAGGGCTATCCTTCATAATTTCTGTCCTGGTTTATGGGGCCCAGGAAATAAGAAAGACCACTGTAAAGTTGGGTTAGGGTGAAGATCTCCCTAACCTTGGAAGAAAGACTTTTAGAAAAAACATTTTGGGAAGTTTTTTCTGCCTTCTGACTGGGAGGATGCATGCACACTCCTAGCAATTCATTTGGGTCATAAAACCTGATGACTTGCTTTTCTAGACTCCACTGCATTTATTTTAGGTAACCAGCGCTACTTTAAAAACTTTGTGCAGTGATATGCAGATAGAAGTCAGGGGTTTAAGTCTCACCTGGATCTTAATTTTCTCATCTGCAAAATGTGGGTAATTAAAACACTAAAAGTCTAATTCATATGTCTAGATGATATATTTAAAAAACGCTTTGTAAACTTTATAAAATCTTACTTCTCAAAGTCCATGGGCCAAAAGCATCATCCACACACGGGAATAAAAATGTAACACCTCAGACTCTACCCCAGATCTATTGAATCAGAATCTGCATTTTGACAAGTCTCTCGGGTGATTTTGTATGTACATTAAAGTCTGAAAAAAGATTACTACTATCAGACATAATTTTCTTGGAAGTTTAAATTACCAGGAAGCTATGGATCAAATTGAGAAATTTTTATTTGCAGGGTGGGGTTCCTTCAGATTTGAGCTTCCCTTGAACAAGAAATGTACATGTTGCCGAAGCCGGTTTGGCTCAGTGGTAGAGCGTCGGTCTGCGGACTGAAAGGACCCAGGTTCGATTCCGGTCAGGGGCATGTACCTGAGCTGGGGGCACATCCCCATAGGGGGTGTGCAAGAGGCAGCTGGTTGATGTTTCTCTCTCATCGATGTTTCTAGCACTCTCTCTCTCTCTCTCTCCCTTACTCTCTGTAAAAAATTAATAAAATATATTAAAAAAAGAAATGTACATGTTAAACTTTGCAGTGTCAAGCTTTTAGACATTGACTAGATAAAAAGTTAAAATAACACCTTTTTGAAAGCCAGCTTTTGTTTTTCATTTTTGTAATAATAAATAGCATCCTAGATACGTAAGAGACACCTTTTTCTCTTCGGTCTGGTGGGATCACAGCAGAGGGCCACGCTCTTCTTTTCCTTTCTGCACATCAGGAATTTGGTGATCATATAGGCAGAGCCTGGTATTGTTGGTGCTTCACTCTTTCTAAATCTAAAGTGCACACCTTCTTCCTTACTCTGTTCATTTTGAAGTTGGGATACATCTTTCAAATGTAAGTCTATCATAGCTTAATGGTTAGTTTTCCTTTTTAGCAGCACAAACTGATGATGTCTCTGATTTGGTGAAACGTAGTTGGTAGTGGCTTGATTCTGTAACAATTTCTTGTGGGGGGCAGCGA